CGGGCCCTGCTTTTTGTCTGCAGTCATTTTGGAATTATCAAGGCAGCTCTAGAAAGCATCAGGGTCTCTTTGGTCTCTTTCTAAGGGTCCTTTGTTTGGGCCGCTGACTCATCTCTGACTTTCTCCCCTGCGAGCAGCCGTGCATACTAAACTCATCAGCCATGCATGCTAATCTCTTGACACTAACTGGCCTTGAACAGATACCAAGGTTTCTCCACAGCCAGAAAGGGGCTCTGCCCAACCCCTTCCACACTATCCACCTTCAAGGACCTCAGGCCATCTACCCGACTCCAGCAAACCCCTTTCTGCCTGCCCCTCCTATCCCCACGGGTACAAGTGAGGGGACCCCAGCCAAGGCCTTTTCACCAGGGGGTGGGCACCATTCCCAAACTCAGCCAGCGAACTTCTCAGGAATTTTCCACTTTTGATCTAAGGGATCCCACGAAAGCTTTTAGAATAAAACGCAGAGCTGTCAGATGGCTTCCTCTCCCTCCTCCTGGTAGATCAGCAGTGTGTCCTGTGACAGTAGACACAGGTTCAAATTCCAGTTCATTCCTCCTGGGGGCTGAGTCCCCTGCTTGTTCAGATGCAAAAAGGGAAGCAGCTACAGAGGACCTGCAGAGGTCATGTTGTGTCCACCTGGAAGCTTGGGGAGTGACTTGATCTGGAATAAGTATCTTTGTTGAAGTACCTTAGTTACTTTCAGTCCATGAGATCACCCTGGATTAGGGTGGGCCCTACCTCCTTATAGGAGACAGAGAAGGAAGAGTAAGAAAAACACAAACAAAGCAAAAATACAGACACAGAGGGTGGGCTGGGCCTCATGAAGCTGAGGCAGAGGTTGGAGGGATGCAGCCACAAGCCCAGGCATGCAAGGAGCCGTCAGGAGCTGGAAGATGCAAGGAAGGACCCTCCCCTGGAGCCTCTGGGCAGAGTGCAGCCCCTCCTGCCGACACCTTGATGTGGAACTCATGGCCTGCAGAGCTGGAGACGACATGTTTCTGATGCTTTAGGCCCCCAAGGTGCAGCATTCTGTTACAGCAGCCCAGGGAAACATCACAGAACTGCAGGCGCTGGGCAGACAGACGGACAGGGTCAGCAGTGGCAGCGGAGGCTCCAGGAACCTGAAAGAAGTCTTGAAAGAAGCTCAGGACCATTCTGGCACAAGCAGACCAGAGCCAGCTGTTCTTGAAAGGGCCACGAGGAAGGCAGTCCTGGGACGTGAGCTTGCAAACCAACCATACGGCGAGCTGGACATGTGTGTCCAAGGCTGAGGTTTCAGTTGGTAAAAGAAAAAAAAAAAAATGAATAAGTAAATCTGTGATCATTTCAGCTCTGCCCCTGGGCAGTGTGCTCACAGGAGGCTTCAAGCCAGGAAATGTACCCCTGATAAGGGAAGGCACAGGGGTGGCGATGACTGAGGTACCAGAGTGATGACCAGGACACAGAGCTGGGTGTCCTGAGTGCTACCGGAGTCAGGGGAGGACTAGTGTTCACCCGGAGCAGAGGCGAGGGATGTGCTGATGGTGACAGTAACATACACAGCTACTGTCACACAGGATGAAGTTTCCCGACTGACCGGAGAGCAGCCCGGCTGCCGGTGAGGACGACCAGAGGAGAGCCTCCTGGCTTCCCTCTGCCCACACAGCATCTTCATGGGCTGTTTGACTTGTCCTCAGGAACACAAGTCTTCATGGACCCAAGGCCCGGGAAACAGAGGCTCCGGACCTTCCCCACTCACACTCGAACTCTTAGACCCCCGACCCCGGCGGGATGCTTTCAGACAGACCTGGGGCTTCTTTCCAAGTCTCGTGTTAAGTGAAATGAAGTCACTCAGTCGTGTCCAACTCTTTGCGACCCCATGGACTGTAGCCCACCAGGCTCCTCCACCCATGGGATTCTCCAGGCAAGAGTACCAGAGTGGACTGCCATTTCCTTCTTCAGGGTATCTTCCCGACCCAGTGATCGAACTCGGGTCTCCCGCGTTGTAGGCAAATGCTTTCACCGTCTGAAGACCTCCTCCTTGCACCTGTGTCCCCATAGGGATTCATCTTCTGAACTTGTCACCCCTCCATCTAGCTCGGCATGCCTGGGCCACCCCTGAGAGTCAACACACCCAGGAGGCCAGGGTTTGTATCCTCCAACCATAGGGCATCTGCTTTGTCCAGGGTCCAGAGCAGTGATGGGGACAGTGTCTCTGACTTGGTAACTGCCTTGGAGAAATTGCAGTAAACCACCCAAATGGCAGGGCCCCTTCCTATTCTCCAGTTTCCTCGGTGCAGACAGTAATCACCGATTTCCCTTCCATCTGGCTGACTCCTGAACATCACCTGCCAGGACGCCCCATCCTAAAGCTTCTGATGTCCCCCTGTCTCCTTCCAGTTCTCCCAGGAATGATCGTCAGGAAGGTCAGAGCCCACCTGCCTGGGACATTATTCCCTGAGCCACCCCCAGTGAGGACATGTGGTCATCTCCCGAAGACCCCAGTTCCCTCAGTCCAGGCCTCTCCTCCCACTGTGCCCCCTGCCCTTCCACCCCACACCCCGCCTTGTGTCCACACCCTCATCCTGGCATTTGCTTTGAGTGCAGCCTTGGGCTTGGCACAGGTGATATCAGGGCAAATAGGACCCCTGCCCTCCTGGCCCCCACCATCCTAAGGAAAAGACCCCATAAAGTCCTGAAAATGCAGACACCCAGGTCTAAACTGGGCTTCCTGTGGCCCCCTCTTTCTGATTTCCTGCCCCCCATCCCCTGTCCTCATGTTTCCTGGTTCAAGCTCCTGCCCCATCAGGTCACTCCTATGGGAACTATTCTTTACCCACGGGACACATTGCAGACTTGATTTTATTGGGGTATAGTTGCTTTATAATGCTGTGTTAGTTTCCACTATGTAACAACACAAACCAGCTGCACGTACACGTACATGAGCCTCTCTGCCAGCCCCATCCCACCCCTCTAGGTCATCACGGAGCAATGAGCTGAGATCTCTGTGCCGCCCAGCAGCCTCCCGTGAGCCAGCTGTCTACACACGGCGGTCAGCGCTGCTCTCCCAACCTGCCCCACTCTCCTCTCCCCCACCCCACCTGTTCACTAGTCCCTTCTCTACGTCTGCGTCTCTACTGCCCTGCAAAAGGGTTCATCAGTGGGCTCCCGGGAGCTCAGCAGTAAAGAATCTCCCTGCCATGCAGGGGCCCCAACAGATGCGGGTTCAATCTCTGGGTTGGGAAGATCCCCTGGAGGAGGATCTCCAGTGTTCTTGCCTGGAGAATCCCATGGACACTATATGGTGGGCTATAGTTCATAGGGTTGCAAAGAGTCAGACACAACTTAGAGACTGAACAGCAACAATATATTCGTTAATATACGATATTTGTTTTTCTCTGTCTGGCTTACTTCACTCTGCATAACAGACTGAGGCCCATCTACATCTCTGCAAATGACCCAATTTCATTCGTCCTTATGGCCGGGTAGTATTTCATTGTGCATATGTACCACATCTTCATTGTCTATTCACCTGTTGACGGACATTTAGGTTTCTTCCATGTCTGGCTATTGTATTCATTCCAAACTTTAGGTCCCTTCCTGACATCCTTATTTCATGCCACCCACCACCACCCCCAAGATCAGTCCTGAGTGATTATTGGAAGGACCGATGTTGAAGCTGAAACTCCAATACTTTGGCCACCTGATGTGAAGAACGGACTCATTTGAAAAGACCCTAAGCTGGGAAAGATTGAAGGCAGGAGGAGAAGGGGATGACAGAGGATGAGATTGTTGGATGGCATCACCGACTCCATGGAGATGAGTTTGAGTAAACTCTGGAAGTTGGTGATGGACAGGGAGGCCTGGCGTGCTGTCGTCCATGGGGTCGCAAAGAGTCGGACACAACTGAGCAACTGAACTGAACTGAACTGAACCACCACCCCTGACTTAGCTCTCAGGATCTGCCAGTGTAGCTCTTCTCCAAACACTCCGCTCAGCTGATGAAGCACTCAGAAGCCCCTCTGCATCCTCTTGGTCTCACCTCTGGTCCTCCGCATCAAGGTCAAGACCCTTCCTTCCCAGGAAACTGCTCTTTCTGCCTCTGCCCTCTACAAGGTACCAGCATCTACTCATCTGGGGTTAAAAAAGTTACCTTAAAAGTCACACACCCCCAAACACAAAACAAAACATTTCTCATTCTAAGGAACTGGTGGAAGAAGGTGGCCTTGAGGGAGCTAGGATTCTGCAAAGAAAGCTCTTGGGTCTTGCAGAGAGAAATCCCAGAGGCTCATCCTGATGGGAGGTGACACTGTGGTGTAGAGGGGGAGCCTGTCCAGGCTGAGTGGGGAGCTTGGACCATGTTTGGCTTCCATTGGGAAGACAGGCTCTGGAAGAGGCCTAGGTCCTCTCCTCCTGAAGTCAGTATCCTGACTCTTGTCATTTGTCTCTAAAGGTCGACAGGAGGCATCGCCAAGGCTGGGACACCCAGGGCACTTCTCTGTTGGTCACCCCCTACTGCATGACCACTGTCTGTTCTTGATTAAGTGCCTTGTTCCCGCCGCAATGTGAGAAAAAGCTATGCAGACCAGAGACACTGAGGCAAAATCCATTATCTCATAACATGGTGCAGAATCAAGAGAAAAGGTTTCTATGTCAACATTGGTAGTGCTAGTGGTAAGGAATCCTCCTGCCAGTGCAGGAGACCCGGATCCCTGGGTCAGGAAGATCCCCTGGAGAAGGAAATGGCAACCCACTCCAGTGATCGTGCCTGGGAAATCCCATGGACAGAGGAGCCTGGTGGGCTACAGTCCATGGTGCAGCAAAGAGTCGGACACCACTGAACGTACATACACACACACACACACACACACACAAGTCAATATTCAAATCTGGAATCACAAGCATTTTTGTGCTGTCGACAGACCCCAGTCCCAGAGGAGAGAAGAAGGAGTTGGGGTGGGAGGGGCTGGTTTCTGGACTCAAGACCTTGAGCTCAGAGCCAGAGGTCAGCTCCGGGCATGGCCAAGAGTACCAGCCAGAGGAGGAGAGAGAAGACGCCCGTGTCTCCAATCCGGGTTGCTCGGTGGATGGGTCGGCCCCACAGGTTCAGCAGATTTGACTCGAAAGGTCAGCTTCATGCCAGTCACCACAGACCAGAGGCAGGGATGGGGTGGGCCAGGAGGTTAACCTTGGGGTCTCCTGTGAAGGCGGGCACATGGGGCAGGAGCTGTCTGGAAGGCATTACCTAATGCAAAGATTCAGGTTTCCCCCGCACACACAGAGATCCTTTCATGTGCAACCCTTGACCTTCAGGGCTTCCAATCTCTGTGTGGGTATTAAATGGCCTCGGAGGACACGCTGCAACAAGAAACCTCAGATTTAATGGCCAGGTCCAAGGTCACAGGGCTACAGGCCTGCTGACTGCCTGTTCCACGGCCACCTGGGCACATGACACCCTGCTCCCTCCGTTCATCGACGGAGCAAGACGACGTGCTGGTGGTGGGCGCTGGGCTTCCAAGGTGCTGAGGGAGGGTCTCTGCCTCCCAGCCTGGTAAAGAGGCAGCCCAGAAACCTAGGAGTGTTAACAAAAGTGCCAGCATTTGCCCCCAGCTTCCCTTCTATTGGGCTTCCCCACTACTTCAGTTGGTAAAGAACCTGCCTGCAATGAGACTCAGGTTTGATCCCTGGGCTGGGAAGATCCCCTGGAGGAGGAAATGGCAACCCACTCCAGTATTCTTACCTGGAGAATCCAATGGACAGGGGAGCCTGGCAGACCACAGTCCACGGGGTCGCCAAAGAATTGGACACAGCTTAACAACTAAAGAGCAGTAGTCCCCTTTTATTGTCTCAAGAGGCCTGGCGTTTCGTTCTGAAACCTTTCTGCTTCCTTGCTCCAGTGGCCAGGGATCTGGTTCCCTGTTCCCTTACACCCTGAGCCGTAACTTCTCGCACCCCACACGGAGACTAGAGGAGGGATGAACAGGTCGATTATAATTCAGTGGGCCGTCATCAAAGGGCACCATTTACAGAGTGAAAAGGCAAACCATAAAATAGGAGAAAAAGTTTGCAGATCACAAATCTGATAAGGGTTATGTCCTGAAGATACCCCAAACTCCAACAACTCAACAACAGCAGAAACAAGCAAGCCACTTTAAGAACAGGCAAAGGACTTGAATATTCTCCAAAGAAAATAAACAAATGGCTGATAAGCACATAAAAAGATGTGCAAAATCGATAATCTTTAGGGAAATGCACTTCAAAACAACAGTGAGATGCCACTTCATAGCTATTAGGATGGCTATCAGTTTAAAAAAAAATACAGAGCCCCACACACAAAATTAAAAGTGTTGAGGAGGACGTGGAGAAATTGGAACCCTTGTGCACTGTTGGTGGGAATGTAAAATGATGGAGCCTGTATGCAGTTTCTTCAAAAGCCTAAGCATAGAATTGCCATGTGATCCTGCAATCTACTTCTGGGTATATACCTCAGAGAAGTGAAAGCAGGGATTTAAACAGATATTTACACATCCTTATTCATAAGTAGCATTGTTAAAATAGCTGGAAGGCGGAAGCAATGTCAGTGCCCATCAATGGATAAAAGGATTTAAAAAAAAAAAGTGGTCCATCCACACAATGGAATATTACTCAGCCTTTAAAAGGAATGAAATACTATGTGATTCCACTTCTATGAGGTTCCTAGAAGAGTCAAGCTCATGGAGACAGGAAGTAGATGGTGGTTGCCGGGGGATGGGGAATGTGGATGGGGAGTTAGGGCTTCATGGGGACAGAGTCTCTGTTGGGGAAGATGAACAGATCCTGGAGACGGGTGGTGGTGATGGTTGTAAGACACTGTGAATGCACTTAATACCACTGATCTGTACAGTTAAAAATTGTTGCAAGCATAGGTATACATATGTCCCCTCCCTCTTAAAACTCCCTCCTGAAACTCCCTCCCACCCCATCCCACCCCTCTAGATTGTCACGGAGGGCCAGGTTTGAGCTCCCTGCCTCATGCAGAAAATTCCCACTGGCTATCTCCTCATACTGATATATGGCAGAAACCTACACAATATTAGAAAGCAATTATCCTCCAGTTAAAATAATGTTTTTTTAAAAGAAAGATGATAGAAAGGTTATAATATTAAATTTTATATTGTATATATTTTACCTCAACCTTTAAAAAAAAGTGTCTTGGGTTGAGTTAAATTCAAGTCACAGTGTAAAACCAGCTTTGCTTTTAGACCACTAAAGCCGAGGAGGTCCTGGTCTACCCAAAGGTGATGAGCTGTGTGTGTGAGTTCTGTCCCCTTCCTGCTGGGCTCCACTCTGGAGCCTTTAGTGAGAATTGCAATATTGATTTTTTTTTCCCCCGAACCAATACCAGTTTCCAGAAGGAAAAAGAAAAATCGGCTGTGGTGATGCATTCTAGAGGGCTTCTACCCACACAAATCACCCCGAGTATCCTAGACTGTGTTTATGGCCTGGCCCTAAACGTGCACCAACCTGCATGTTCCCAAGATGGGACAGAGGGCTCGAGAGCCTGGGGGTCTGAATACTAACCCTGAGCCATATGGCTTGAATTTCTCTCGCTTTTTAAAGTACAAAACCATTGTAAAACCTGTCTGAGTCTTTTCAGGGGCACACACTGTATCGAAAAATTGACTAATTTTCCATTTCAAAACCTGGTTTACCCTTAGCAGGGTGGTCCCTATCACTCCAGTCTCTGAGGTCCTTTTAAAGTCTCTTTATGGGGGAAGGTTGAAAGCTTTGAGACTGTTTGTTCTTTCCAGAGATAGACACGTTTAAAGCCCCTGTCATGGGCCTAACTGATGTGGTCACATGGCCTGGACCGAGGGAGGATAGGATTTGTCCAGCTAAACCCTAAATACGACAGAGATTAAATTCACTGTAAACAAGGGGGATTAAGAATGAAAAGCTGGGTTGGGTGGGATCAAATGACACTGGTCGCCTGAGAATAAAGGCTCCTTGGGAAGTTTGAAAAGTGGTTTAGCAGCGATGGCGCTGGCCTCTTACGTCCTGTTCACAAAATCAGCAATTATGTATTTAATGCAACAAAGAAAACGGTGACAGAGGCCTCGGGCAACAGGGTCTGCACTTCTCAAACCAGGAAGACCCGGCGCTCAGACATCACCTTGGCCAATGTGCTTTCACCAGGCACTCCACTGACTCTGTGTTACTTCTTGGTAACAAAGGCCCGCAAGAAAGTGCCCACAGCTTTGCTGTTATTTCTGCAGCTGGTCTCCAAGCACCTGCAAGTGTTTTTCCAGAAAGAAAACTTTAGGAAGAAGGCCTCTCCCACCTGGATTTTCTTAGCATGAGGCTTCAACCACACGCCAGCAGGTGCAGGTGTGTGTGACCACAACCCCGCTCTCCACAGCAGACGCTTTTCCCTGCTGCCACTGGGAGCCTGCAGACCCAGAGAGAGGCGGTCCGGACACGGGGCCAGACTTTGGCTAACCTTTGCCGGGCTGGATATGTAGTCCTCGCGGTCTGGTGCAAAGAACTCATCTCAGGCCACGTGGGCTAGAAAGCATGAATTCTTTTCTCTCCTTTAAAAATCACAACAACAGCAACAACAAAAACACCAGGAAAAAAAAAAATTAAACAGAGAATCTGAAAGTTTTAGAAATATTTGAAAGCATTTGTTGTTGTTCAGTCACTAAGTCATGTCCAACTCTTTGCGACCCCATGGGCTTCAGCACGCCAGGCTTCCCTGTCCTTCACTATCTCCCAGAGTTTGCTCAAACTCATGTCCACGGAGTCGGTGATGCCATCCAACCTTCTCATCCTCTGTCACCCCTTCTCCTCCTGCCCTCAATCTTTTCCAGTGAGTTGGCTCTTCATATCAGAGAGCCAAAGTATTGGAGCTTCAACTTCAGCATCAGTCCTTTCAGTGAATATTCAGGGTCTGACTTTAGGACTGACTGGTTTCAGCTCCTTGTGTTCCAAGGGACTCTCAAGAGTCTTCTCCAGTACCCCAGTTCAAAAGCATCAATTCTTTGGTGCTCAGCCTTCGTTATGGTCCAACTCTCACATCTGTACAGGACTACTAGAAAAACGATAGCTTTGACTATACAGACCTTTGTTTGCAAAGTGATGTCTCTGGTTTTTACTACATCATCTAGCTTTGAAAGCAGCCTGGATGTCAAATAGTCGGGTGTGTGGACCTATTGTCCTGCCTGGATCAGAAATACATGAAAGCTTTGACAGAGACAGAGAAAAATAATACAAAGCAAGTTTAATCCCATCATCCAGAGAGCACCTCTGCTGAGATCTGGATGCATGAACTTGCAATTTGTCTCTGCCCTGTGTTTGTCACAGGTGATCTCCAAGGCTTCAGAGATGAGTGCAGGGTGCAGCTGGCCTGTAAGTCGGCGCTCTCGTAGCAGAGATGGCTCAAAGGTAAGGGGATGAGCAACAGACTTTGCTCAAGGTGACACTGGAAACAAACTCATAGCAACACAGCCCTGGGTGTGGGAACCAGCATTTCCTGTGGTTTTCTGAGCCTCTTTGTGGAGGGAACTGGGAATATATAACACAGACATTAAGTTATAAATAAAATTGAAAGAATTTCTTACTTGTGATCATTTTACACAGTGTTTTTTTGTCTTGCTCTACTTACCAGCACTGTTGGAGAAATTGAGATCTCACCTCTTACTGAGACGACAGCCGAGGCAGCCTGCACAAATTACTAAACTCATGGAAGCCCCAAAGTTTATTGTTCCTGTTTGAGAACAATGTATGTGCCTCTTTTATGCTCCTCCAGAAAGCACGCACTTGGCTACGTGACTACCAGTGTTTCTCCTCAATTCCACCAGATGTGGAATTGTATTATCTGTGCTGTCACGTCCAGCAAATTCCACGGGCGGACTCTGCAGACACATCTGCTTCCCACGTGAGCCCTCACCTGCTGAGAGGCCGATGACAGCACACGGCTCTTTGATGGGGCTCGGGTGAGCTTTCTCCTTAACCGCCTGAGCCTTCCACTTGCCTTCCAGGAGGCGAAGCGGCAGAATTAGGGCACGCACAGGCTCCTCGGGGGACCTGCCTTTCACAGTGCCTTCCCGTGACCCTGGATGTCAGATGGCCAGGTGTGTGGAGCTGTTGTCCCATGCAGGTCAGAAGCGTGGCCTCTGCGATCACAGTGTGGCAGGTGGGTGAGCTGCCATGAGTCAGCAAAGCTGAATAGCATATACACATCTGATGGTGATGGAGGCGATGCTGATGTGGGGGTGCGGTGGGTGTGGGAAGGTTGTTGATAATGATCAGATCAGTCGCCTTTTCCACAAATCCCCCGGACTAGTCCACACCTTGCACAGATGTGCCTCCAGCTGCTACTAACAGGCGCTGCCAACAGGTGCGTCCTCCTACCTGGTCTTTTGGCCTCTGACTTTCTTCTCCGCTTTCCAGATACATCTATCATTTATCTATCATCTACCTATCAATTTTTGTCATTGTTCCTATTGTTCAGTCACTGAGTTGCATTTGAATCTTTGCGACTGGACTGTGGCCCACCAGGCTGCTCTCTCCCTGGGATTCCCCAGGCAAGAATACTGGAGCAGGTGCCACTTCCTTCTCCAGGTGATCTTCCTGACCTGTGTCTCACATATTGGCAGGTAGATTCTTTGCCCCTGAGTCACCAGGAGCCCATCTATCTATTTATCTACCTATCTATGTATCCATCTATCTCTCCTATTCCAGGGGTGAAAATATAAAATCTCTTCTTGTAGAATAAACCTTAATTCCATCCCAAACTGAATCCATAGTTCCCATTAGAAGACTAAGAAGAAAGGGACTCATTTTGCTATTTCCATTATGCCTTGCATTCAGATCACTGTGTGAGCAGGGCTGTGTCTCTGGTCAGGTGAGTGAGGCACCCACGGTGCAAAATTTAAGAAGGTATTTACTCTCTGGGTCCTGCAAGTTATTCTACGCCTGCCAGGAAAACAAGGACACGATGTCAACATGAACACAGAGAGCAGAGGTGAGATGCCAGGGTGCTGGGGAGGCTTGGCAGTGCCCCTTGGCTGAACCTTGTAATCTCAGGACATGACGGTGGGGGAAATCTTCAGGGGGCAAGTGTCCTTCCAACTCTGTCTGGGCCTTTATAAGATTATGACTTAAGAAACTTGTTATTGCTTTTACCTTGGGTCTCCAGAACTTCAGAACTAGACTTGCAGTCTGGTTAGCACTGTGATAGGAGGTGTTCTGAATTCATTGCCCAATGTCTCACTGTTGTCAACATCAGCCTCTGAAATAATTAGGCCAACAATGCAGAGGTTCTAGAATTCAGTCATCTGGTCAACTTTATTGCTGTTGTCTGGTGCCACCGCCCATCACTTACTGCCTCCCTGAGTTATGTCATCACCCATAGCTAGGCTCTCCTCCATAAAGCACCAGGCCCGCTTTGTTGAATGAAAAGAGCTGAGAGCACCCCACTAGAGTAGCCAGAGCTTTCACCAACCTTCTCTCATGCAAAGCATCGCTCCCAGACCCCACCTCCTCCTTCTATCCTTCCCTCCTCTCTAAAGCTGGGCTCTCCCTGGGATCCTGGGTTCCATCCCTTCCAACACTCTTGGTTGGAAATCATCTCTACAAATACCACCCCACCCCCATCAACTGTTGATATTCCTTCTAGCACAGACTTCATACCAACAATGTATACTTCAGTTAAGTCATATTTTAAATTATTATTCTAAAAGTAATACATCTCATGGTAAAAAAAAAAAAAATTCACACAGTACAGAAAGATGTTAAGTGAAGAGTAAAAATCTCTTCCTCTCTCTGCATTGATCCCCATCCCACATTTTACTGATGACCTCTAAGAGTTTCTGGTTTCGGTTATCCTATGGCTGTCATTACAACATTAAACAATGTACTTAGACATCTGTTTCCAAGCCCATCACCCATATGTAGCCAGCACTTACTCTCTGTTCTGAAAGAGGAGAGAGACAGCACAAGGGCCCTTCATCCCTCCATCCTCCCTAATTTTTGTTTTGTTCCATCATCTTCAGTTTCTCTTATCTTCTACAGCGTTAAGTGGTATATTTCAGATAGGAGCTCTTAGCTCTGATGGAACATCTGAAGGACACATGAAGCATTTTAAAAATACAGATAAGAGACCTTTCCCTTTTTAGATCAATTAAATACCCGTGGCAGTTACAATACAGCATTACATAGGAGTGGCGATTGATTCCAATGAGCAACCAGGATGGAGAGCTATGGAAAGAGACATTTTTATTCAGCATCAGGAAACCAAGGTGAAGGGACAATAATGGTAAGTAAAATCACTACAAAGAGCTCTTCCAGATAAGAGAAATATGATGGAGCCAAGAATAAGAAAACCAAATGTGATTTTTAATAAAGTTAAACAGAGATTTATCATATGACCAAGCAATCCCATGGCTCAGTAGTCACCTAAGGGAAATAAAAAAACACATGTTCACATAAAAAGCTACACACAGATGCTTATAACAGCTTTATTCATAATAGTCAAAAACTGGAAATGGTGCAAATGCCTCTCAACTGGGGAATGGGTAAATGTGATACAGCCATACAATGGAATATTACCCAGGAGTTAAAAGGAATGAGCTATTCATATGTACAAAAACATGCATAAATCTCAAAAGTATTATGCTAAGTGCAGTAAGCCACACCGAGGGTTATATTATGGAGGATTCTGTTTGTGTGATATTCTGGAAAAGGCAAACCTAGAGTGACCAAAATTCAACCAGTGGTTGCCAGAGGCTGAGTGTGGGGAGAAGGATTGATTACAAAGAGGCATAAGGGAAGTTTTTAGAAGAAAAGGAAGCTATGCTCACCACTTATACCACCAGCGTCACCAATGCCAAGCTTTTAAATGGCTCTGCATATTCTACTCGTTGATTGTGGTGGTAGTTACACAACTGAACATTTGTCAAAATTCATCAAACTGTACAACTATAAAGGTAAATTCTATTACTTGAAGATCACACTTCAATAAACCTGACTTTTAAATGTAACTGGGAATCTTTTCTAACATGAATGCATGGGAATTTGAGCAAGTAAAAATTAATGCTCTAAAAGAACTGCAGCCATAAAGATTTAGACTGAGACATGTTAAAGGAGTAGGTTTATGGTACTGTGTTGAAATCACTCTTTGAGACTCATCCATATAAGTCTTATGACTAATTTCTCACTGCAGTTAAATTTTCTAATTTTGCCATATTGTGAAAATGAAAGCGCAAGTAGCTCAGTCGTGTCAGACTCTTTGCGACCCCATGGACTTGACAGTCCATGGAATTCTCCAGGCCAGAATACTGGAGTGGGTAGCCTTTCCCTTCTCTAGGGGATTTTTCTAACCCAGGGATCGAACCCAGGTTTTCTGCATTGCAGGTAGATTCTTTACCAGCTGAGTCACAAGGGAAGCCCAGGAATACTGGAGTAGGTAGCCTATCCATTCTCCAGCAGATCTGACTGACCCAGGAATTAAACTGGGATCTCCTGCATTGCAGGCAGATTCTTTACCAACTGAGCTGTTAGGGAATCCTTCCCATATCATACAAACACTGGTTTCTAAGTTATTATACCTTTTGTTGCTGTAGAGTATAATTTTTTCATGCTTTATAATTATAGCAGAGATGTTAAATTTCATGGATATATTTTCTATGTGGTCACCATATTGAACTAATTTACTACTAATAGACACTATGGCATGCAAATAAAGTTAACTTTTCCCTTGCTTTCTCATATTTATCGATTTTACACTTTTTCATGAAGTTTCTAAAATTTCCAAAACAAAGTTGGGCAGCCTCTATTATAATAGTTGATATGTAGATATGTTTCTAATTTCAGAGATGAAATGTTATATCCATCTTCATTAGTGCCAGGGATTTGGATAGATACTGTTACTTAAGGAAGTGTTTTTCTATTCAGTTTATGACACACTTTAGAAATAATTCTATATCCAACTTTAACAAACTTTTTTTATCATTAATTAAGATTATAATATGGCTTTTCTCCTTAGTCTCTAAATTTGATGACTTATAAGAATAAATTAGCTGATGTTGAATCAACTATACCTTCTCAAGTTAAAACCACTAGTTTTTTAAATATAATTAAAACATATTAGTTATATTTTGTTCCTTTTTGTTTCTGAGTGTTCTCTATTTGTTTCCTGAACACTTTATTGTTTTTAAATTATTTAATAGATGAGTTATCAGAATTTTTTTCTGGGCTTTCTTTTTCAGATTTAGCTATCAGAACTGAACTTGTAACAACATTTTGCCCACTCCTCAATACACATTTCTTTCCTTTGAACTTGAATCTTGATTCCAAAATTAAGTACTTTTTCCTATTTCATAATTAAGCCATATTTATTTAAGAAAAAATTAAGTACCCATAAGAAATAATAAAGCAAATATACTGATGATAATAGGATACTGAAGTTACAAATACAGGAAGAAAACTAAGAGGGATCCTACAGTACTGGATTGGAATTAAAGTATCCATGGGACGTCTTATACATGGAAGCTCCAGCTCTGCCTTTGAAGAGGACGTAAGCAGCAATACCACACTAGGGATGAGCATGCCTAGCACCCGGATGTTGGTCTCTAAGTACCATTCTCTCCTGAAAGGAATCAAAGTCACCTGGAGAAATTGTCTGCATCAAGGCTGGAAGGCTATCACATCTCATTGTAACAGCAAGAACAGAAGTACTGAACCCATGGCAGGGATGGGATAACAGGACATAAATAGACGCCAAGTAGACAGGACTTATGCTAACAACATACGGCACAATTTGAGTATCAAAATAAGGAATTATACCAGTGCATCCTAACCCACTGAGTAAAATAGACAGTCATGAATAAGTAAGGATAAGAGAAAGCTCTTCTACAACTTGAAAGCAAGCTAATTGGTGCAGAAGATGAGATGGAATTAGCAAATCACCATTTTTGACAACTATATTAATATTGTTGCCATTTTCTCTTCTGGGAGATCTTCCAAACCCAAGGTTCAAACCCACATCTCCTTCATCTGCTGCACTGGCAAGCATATTCTTTTTACCACTGAACCACCAAGGAAGCCCATACTATTGCAATAACACATCACCAAAAATCAATGGATGCTAAAACTAATGAGTGAGAGGTTGAAGACAAATAGGATATTTACACA